CATGAAAAGCCAGAGAGTGTAAGAAATTGTTGCTATATTTAACTGCAGTGTCCTCACACGCACAACAGACAACTGCAATGGACACTGTTCTAATATTTACAAGTGCAAAATGATGCTCAATATTTACTGCATGTTCTGTTTAAGAGGACTACAGGGACTTTAAACAAGAGAACATATGGATAGATCAGAGGATTCGTAATGCAATAGTGAGCTTTTCACCTCTGGGTCATAGGTTCAAATCTAAACTGGTCAGTAATGAAGGCAAGCTATTATCATCTGACAACTCTGGCCTTTGCAAATTAATTTGTCAGGCTCAGTCCAGTTCCCATCAAACTTAAAATTCAACATTACAATTTGCATTTCTGAAAACAACTTCACCCCAGGAACGTAACAAAAAAACTGAACAAGCAGAAGTAATCTCTTCCTCCTCAGACCAGGGTCTCGGGAGAGTACCAGAGGAACAGTGAAAGTTACACCACCAGTAGTACAACACATTATTCTGTGAATTGACAGGATTGCCAGGGAAGGTTATTTCTGACTCTCAGATACCCAATAATAATTTCCTCTGTACCAGTACAAAGCTTCCAGGAGTTACATTAATAAAGAAAGAAGACAAGAAAGAAGAGACACCAATATGAACGTTTTAAACCCGAAATTTCACAGTGCTGCTTAAAGATCACTTGGGAGATCTTGTTCAAAGATGCTTTTCTTAAGGCTGAATGTTTTGAAAAAAATGACCACAGTATTCATAAAATAAATATTAATTTGTTTCCAAAATTTCCATTTGTAGCCAAAATGTTTTAAAAAACATTTGTAGCAGCAAAAATTGTATTTCCTGCAGATAGGTTTAATTCAGAAACAGATTTATTTATAAATTATTATGAATGATATTAGAGAACTCATATTTTTTACAGTATTTCTTAAAAACTATTAGACAGAAAAAGTATGGATTATGCCATAACGGTATGTAATTTTCCACATGCCTTCATAATTTGAACATAAAACCTGAAAACCATGTCTAGCCCTTTTCTTTGCTTCTTAATAGTTTGGGAGCAATCACATTATGTACACAACAGGTACCACAGTTCTCCATTTTACTAAACCATAACTGCTACAGGAGTGAATAGAGACACCAAGTTTTAACACAGGACCTTTAAGATCACCTTTACTTCACAAACTTAGGGAACTAGACAACAAAATCTGCTGAAGAGTTTTACATGAAATGAACGTGAAAAGTTACTTCTAACATTTCAGGCTACAACAAAATACATACAGGTCACAAATCTTGAGAAGTATCAAAAAAATTAACAAAAGCCTGCTGCCTTCCTTGCAGCTTCCTTGGTTTTTACTAAGGTGTTGATAAAGGAAGGAAAACTTCAGTATGTTTTCCAATAACTACAGAAATGGAACACTTACTGTAACTTTAGAAAAGGCAAACCAGGTTAACTTCCCAACTGAATGACTGCAGAGAAGTTCTGCAAGCTGAGTGATTGTGCTGGCATGTTGTCTGCTGCTGTAAAATCAGAGTAACATGGCCAAGTCATCCCCTGGGTTGGCCAAAGGCAGACCCGTGTTCCAGAGACAGTGGTCAGTGAGATGCATTCAAACCCAACCTTCCCAGGTCACAGAACAGGAAACCCCATGCATCAAGTGACATAAGAGAAAAAAAAAAAGGAATAAACTGGACACTAAACTTGCATGTTAAGGGACACAACAAGAGACACCCTACGCTGTGTCACTTGTCTTAGAAAGTGTCCAGACTACACTAAGAGATGGTTCCTCTGAGCAGTCTTACAGAGAGTGCAAGCCAAGGGAAAGGGGCTGCCAACAGATGAAGGCAGAATCTTAAGGATTGGGGATTGCCTGTTGCTTGACTTGCAGTTAGCAGGACCAGTAGAGAGACTCATGCAAGTCAATCAAAATTCTTTGACAGTCAGTAATAAGGTTTCTTGCTGCTCCTCTCTGACATCAAGCACTGCATATCTGTGCTAGGGAATGACCTGCAGTGACAGAAATACAGGATAACTTTGGAATTGTGATTGCAGCCACTACTGACAAAAAATATAAATTAAAAAGCAAAGTTTAGACAAAGAAAAGAAGCAAAGTGTTTCAGAGAACAAATTAAACTGTTTGATTAAATGTGGGTGGAACATATGTTAGGAAACTGAAGGATGTGCAAGGTACTTAGATTTCAAAAGGCTGCAGGAGAAAAAATGATAGGCTAATAAGTTATACAGTCATGTTTATTATAAGACACTGGCTCTGAAGTTAGGTAAGCAGATTTTAAAAAAAAATAGTTGTGACTTTTTATTATTCTTTCATCCTCTTATCGCAGTTTCCTTTTTATATCATCTGCTGCATTTTGTGCAGTTGCACCAAAAATTGTTCTGGCCAAGCACAACTGTTCTTTAAATGGGTATGTTTATAGAGCACTCCAACACTGAGCCTCTCAAGGTAACAAATTTTTTGAAGCTCCACAAACTGGGAAATAAACACACTTTCTCTTCTATGTACTCTCCATGAAAACTCTCCTATAAGAAGGCTTAATGCCTAATAACATCTCAGAGACTGGATAGAGAAGGATTTAAATTCCCATTATCCTTTTTAACTAAGTTGTGACTACATTCTAAAAATAGACTGTTAATCCAGAAATGAAAGAACTCACATATTTTTTACCTGCAATGCCTGAAAGAAATTAAATGCTTTTACAGCTATTACTAGCATAAAAAAAAAAACCAAAACAATTTCTAAATTCTCTGGGCTAACTGTAAGTAAGTTTGACTGCACTAGACAAACCAAGCGCATCCTTACTTCTCATCCCACCCCAAGAACACTGTGGCAAAAGGCTCCCAAAGTGACATCACCCGGGTAAGGGGGAAACAAACAAGCAAAAAACTAAAGCTCCTATTTAATTCAGTGTGATTGACATGCAGCATGCTTGATTAGTCTTGATTAGGTGGTGGAATGCAACTTAAAGAGTATCCTATCTAGTTGAATTGTCATTCTTTCTACCACTTCCTGCATGAGAACAGATTTCAGCAGGCTGATTTAAGTATTTTTTAGCCCCTAATACTTTTTTGGTAGTTATTTTTAAAAGCTGTTGTATTCAAGTTATGCGTTGCCTCACCAGTTTAGTTCTCAGCACAGCAGTACTTTCTTTCCCTCTGGAAACAAACATAAGGCTATTTATGTAGCTATTGTTTTCCAAAATTGCTATTCAATGTCAAGTATGTTGCAGCATAATACCTTTCAGTGGTAGCTTTTTTTTTTCAAGTCTGAAGAGCAGCACTAGCTTAGAGAGGTTTATTCTCGGTACACGTCTTTCTTTCAAACTGCATGAGAAATACACAACTACTTTCCCTCCCTTGTCACATGCATATTTTTTCCATGATTAAACCACTCAGAATTCGTTCTGAAATCTGAAAAGCTCTTCAAATTCTTTTCACACACACAATCAGCCACTACAATACCCACAAGTTCACGTAGCTGGAAGACCAGAAAGCCATTATGCCTGCAACTTTTCGAAAGGAGAAGGTGTGTATTGTCATGCTTTCTATTTATGGCTGTAATCCTCACGACTGTCCACTCATAATCCTTCTACTGAACAAATGGTTTCAAGCGAAATCAGATCCTGGAGAAGCAAACAGCCTCTGCTTTCTTTTAAGGGAGAGAAAAGAAAAAAGCACATGGTTTTGCCTACCTTAGACCGGCACAGTGAGTTAAATACTAAGCAGCTTCTTCGAACCGACAGCTCCTATGCAAGTTTAACTTTTGACGGCAACAGATCACGCCTGAGTTATTAACCAAGATAACGCAACGCCCCTGATATTTAATTTCAAGAATCCCTGCTGATAAAAGACCTCCTTAGCCTCCAGTACGCTCTTTCTCTCGTACCTGCCACTCCTTCCCTCTTCTCAAGCTGACCAGCCGCGGCCGTGCAGGGCAGGGATCCCGCGGTCCCGCCGGGGTCGGGCCGGCCCGGCCGAGCCCCGCACGGACCCGCCGCGGTGCGGGGGCTGCGCCGCGGCACAGGGCGGGGGTCGCCACCGACGGGGCTGCGGGCACAGCGCACAGGGCGCCGGAGAGCGGCTGGGTGTGGCTGCGGTTCCTCCCGCGGGCGGGGCGCGGGAGGAGGGGAATGCCGAGCGTTCCCGGGAGCGGCGCAATCCCTACCTGCGCCCGCGCGCGCTCCCGCCGGGCGCGCTCATCGCCCGCTGCCATAGCTACGGGCAGCCGCGCCGCGCGCCTCTCGCGAGAGCCGCCATCTTCCCGCGAGAGGCGCGCGCCGCGCCCGCGGGCGCCTCCTGTGGCCAGGGGGCTGAGGGAGCCCCGGGCGGCGCCGGGGGGGGGCGCCGAGGGGAGCGGCGCTGCGGGCTGGGGAGAAGGAAAGGGTCGGCCGTGCAGGGCCGTGTCATTGCTAACAACTGCACAGCGCGGGCAGCTGCAGCTGAGGGATGCCGCTCGAGCCAGGGGAAGCATTCAGACACGTTCACGTCTAGCAGAAGTTTGCTCGTAGTTGATGTGAGCTGGGTTTGCTCACAGGTTAGAGCCCAAACATTGTGTATTCAGCAGCACGCACACTTAAGGTGTGAATTAGACCATCTCAGGGGCTGGGAAAATTGGAGTAAGGTCTTCTGGAAATCTGTATTTTGATTTTCTGAATCCTAGGTAACGTGTAAAATCATTATTCAACTCGCATTCCCTGAACTGCATCAGCTTGAGCATTGCAGTCTGTCACCACTGCAGACTGCTGGTAACTGGTGTAATAGTATTCTTGGTGGTATGCAAGAAAAACATTTCAAGCCCACTGAAATAAATGGGTCCTTTCCTATGAATTCAGGATCATGCATAGACAGTCTGCAGATGACTGCAGGAACCACCATTTCCTTGAGGAGTTGATATCTCAGTGCTACCTCGGTAAAACTATTAACTATTACTGAGACTGAAACATGACGGCATGAGGGCTGATATATTTTCTTTTCTGCCCTTGTATTTTCAGTGTTCCCAACATCTGAGAGAGACACCTTTTGTAACAACACTAAGAGAAGTGCCACCACCTCGGTAAGTGTACAGAAAGTTCTTTTTATTCAGTTGTTGAGTCCATTTTTACATAAGAGAAGTGAGTTGATGCATAACGTTCTGTATATAAAAGATGTATTCTGTATGCCAAAATTACCAGCTTCTGACAATTCAGGTATCCTGTCAATGGTGTACTAGATGCATAGAGTGTGCCTGGGGGACTGGGACTGTGCTTTGTGCTGCCTTTGAGCAAACTCTCAAAGCATTCTCTTTGTATATACCCATGTCTGCAATACTGTTTCTGCTGCTGCTGTTAATATGGCACTTCTGACACTGCTAAAATAATACAAATAAAAGTGCATGCATTTGGAAGAATACTTGTTTACTTGTTGTGATTTCCCGTCCCATTTCAGTCTTCTACTTCGGGAATCAAGCCAACCATACTGCAAGAGAGAGCAAATGAGGAAGGCCTCAAGCCTCTCTTAGGGACCAAAGATAATTAAGAGAAACATTTAGAGATAGTATATATAATGAAGCCCTGAATACATGCTAGCTTCAGGCCCATGACAGTATGGCTGTTTTCATAATAGAATATGGAAGTAATTACACATCTGAGCTGGGCACTGTGGAGTTTGACTGAAGCACTTTTCAGTGTAATTGAATTTGTATAGCATCTGTGAGCAGGGGAGGTCCTGTGCCACAAGGCCCATAGGGTGTCCTTAGGCTGGCCAGCAGAAAGTTTCTCGTTTGTTTGTCCCTCCTTCCAGGGGCCACTTTGTTTTCCCTGCAGTGAACGATGTATAATGAGGTTGTTGCTTAAAGCAGGAACTTCTTCCAGTCAGAATGGGAAATCTGCAGAGTCCTTATTTACCCTTTTGTGTAGAGGGATGTTTTGGAGCACAAATGCAGCACTGCTTAGTGGCTGGCCTTTTCCACTGTGCTTTGTGTCCTCCTTCTATGGTTTTTAACCTCCCTAGTTATAAATGCAGGGACTTGGAGTAAAACAATGGTGCTACCCTTGGCTCATGTCTGAGCCTGGGAGGAGTTGAGACCCTTCTCAGCCTTCTGTTGTACGGTTGTGCCGTCCCTATCTGAATTTCCAGAAAAATATTGTTCCCAGTAAGCCTTGTTACAATAACCAAGAAGAATAACTATTTTGCTTTGGCCCCTGAAGAAGAACTTATAACCATAAATTAATCTCACCTTATACATTTATTTGTTTATGGTGGATTTTTTGAAAGTCAAATGTTCATTATCACTCTGGCTAGAGCTTTAGCTATTACTTCATCTAATTTTTTTAAAGGGTAGTGGTCCTTGTCTGCAAATTTATTTCCCTGAAAATACATCAGATAAAATTTTCCTTACATGAAAAACAGACTTTTAAAATTAAAATACTTTGCACAAAACATTTTGTGTTTCTTCTATTGTTAATCAAAAGATCAAAACAAACAAAGGAGCCTTCATGTTTTCTTAAAAAATAGTTCAAAAATATGCCTTAAAAGTTTTGATATAAATAATGCTTCTAAAATGTATAATTGAAAATCAAAGGAAGAGTTTCTATTTGAGAATTTGTTTATTAAACCGACTGAAATTTAGGTTGCATTTTAAGATGACTGCTTCAGAGTGGTTTATGTAGTTCTCTTCCCATTACTGCGTGTATTAATTAACACATTATATATCTGATCGGCAGCCCCTGGTGGTCTAGTGGTAAAGGCGCCGCGCTATCACCGCGGAGACCCGGGTTCGATTCCCGGTCAGGGCCACTCCCGGGCAGGTGGGGCTCGTCAGCCCTTAAAGGCAACCCACCTACGTCCTAAGGACCTCACTGCCACCGTCCAAGCTCGCTTGGCCCCGGCAGATGAACCTTAGGATTAAAGGGTGGGCTCAGTTCCGCGCACACTGTGTCTCACCTAAAAAATCCAATGCGCAGGCTGGAAGGTGGAAAGACCTTCCCCGGATCTTCGCTCGCGAAGACTGGCCATTATATATCTGATCAAGTACTTGCACTCATTAAAGCTTCCTGTAAGCTGTACTGCAAGCAGAGGATGATCATCAGAGAGAAGATGACACTTATTTTGTGTTAAATATGTAGAGAGCAAGAGGTACAGAATAAAAGCACTGCTAATTAATTACATTAACTGAAGAGACTTTTACTAGTAGATATATGATTATAATTAATAAAATTAATAGTGTTTTAAATCCCACGTACTCATCAGTTCACAAAAGTTGTAGGATTCCCCAAAATGTGTGCAGTCTTGCTTCTGTGTCTGCCTGCACATTCTTCTTGGTTATCTGTAGCCCTGGTCAGACACCAGCCCAAGATAGAATAGGCAACTTGTCTCAACTAGTTTGTAACCTGCAATTTGGTCATAGATGAGATTGAATATAAGTGGATTGATGTGCTGTGAGCCAGCAGGATGGCTTTCAGACTTTTCTAATATTCAATCAAGAGAGACAATGTATGTCTCTGATGGGCAGCAGTAGACTCTTTAAGTTGCAAGAGCAATGTTAACAGCAGCTTGTTGTGCCAAAGGACAGTCCTTTGAAAGTGGCATGTTTTCCAGATGATCACAGCTGTGGCGGTCTGCTTCAGAAGAGAACATATATTTTACAGAGCAGTTAGTTAGGAAAAAACCCTCAGTGCAATGAACATTCAAGTCCTGTGCCACAAGTCTGCGCTTCCTGGCCAAGTGCAAACCTCTGCTCTATAAGAGAGAGATCATTTTCAAGCTCTTGGCTGTCTGGTGCCTGCCATCTTGTGTAAAAGAAATAATGCATTTTCTGTATTCACAGTATGATTTTATAAAAACAAAGTCAAAAAGACAAAGCCCATCTTATCCTAACAGCCTGAAACTATTCCAGGTTTTATTTCTGAGAGACTAGGTCTGATGACAAAGATGATAGATCTAAATGATCTATCAATAACAACGTAAAATGTAATTCTCTGATATTATTTGTATGAATTATTCTGTCATCATCACTAATGGTAAGTTGGTCACATGAGAGAGGTAATTATGAGATGCAACCCCTTGATTAGGGAACGCATTGCAGTGAAATGGAAGACTCTCTGCACAACACAGGGAAGCATACTAACTGTGCTACTACCTGCCAGATATTTATACCATCAACTGTAACTTCAGGCTTGTTTTAAAAACATACAGGTCCCTATTTATGGGTAGTATTGCTGAGATTTTGTTAAGCACCTTTCTTTTACTTTAAAACGTGGATACTATTTTTTAATGCATTTTCAGCCTGGCTTGGATTCTTTGTCATACAAGTCTTCATGAGAGATACATTTCAAAGCTTGGAAAGTGTGAAATTATATTCCTAAAAATGACACTGTAAATAAGTAAAAATGTGAGAACTTTTTGTTCTGAATGAAAGATCTGAATGCCACAAAATCCTATCTAATCTGTTTTTCATGGGTCATCCCCTCTCTATTAAATGGATTTTTAGCTGCTGTTCAATGGAGTATAAGCTTAATATCCACCATATCCTCTGTGAGGGAATTGTAGCCTGCCTTTTCAAGAGGATGGCTCAACAATTTGTGCTTTTTTATCTCTAACTGTGATGATCCTGCTTAAAAGCAGATGACTTACTTTCCATTCTGTAGCTTCTACTATTTGGGGGAAAATCCACTGTAATTAAATCTTATAAAATCCTCTAATTCCCAATATAAACATTTCTCTGACACAGGCAATTCCCCTGAGTCTACCTCGTAGCCCAAGGAAAACAAAGAGCAGGAGTGGTTTCTTACTTCCTCTTAAATATTTGATCATTTTGGGCAAACTTCTGCCCTGATTACAGTAGCTTCAAGCCTTACTCAAATTAATTATTTTTGAGACAGAATTTAGATTACTGATTTTTTCTCACTTGAATAATGGCTAAACTAGCATGTAATTTAAGCTGTGTAAACAACAAGACAATAGTTGTTTCAATTGTTCTAGAACATGTGGCATTATATTTCTCATTTTGTGCTAGAAACAAAAGCGCATAAATCCTGTTTGACAGAATTTGAGATTGGAAGTGTACTGGCAAAAGAAGAGCTATATGCCTCATGAAGTAAATTTCCCAAAACTGAAGCATCCTCTTAGCTTATAAGCATGAATTATAGCAATATTACTAATACTTGCAGTGATACAATACTAAATTTCCAAGGACATTGCAGCTTTTTGTGCCCATTAAGGGTTTGGAATAGTGAAGTGTGTAGACAAAAACTCTTGTCCATCAGTACGTTATGAACCAGAGCGAGCTCTGGGTACCCAGTCCTTTATGTACTTGCAGGATTTTGCTGTCTTTCTTGTACATTAGAGCTTTGAAACAACACCACCAGAGAGCACTGTGCTATTTGTGTAGTATTCCTTACCTTTCCCTGCATATTTAAGGACCTATTTTATTCAGTCTTTTTTTTTTTTTTTCTGTGATAAAATAAAAATCAAATGGAGGTTGTGATTCTATTGGAATTCCCAAACGTTTTGCTGTCATTGTCCCATGTGCACCAATGGCCCTCAGTTGCCCTGACCAGCCTCATCTGGGACCTTCACCCCACTTATGGCTGAGAAAACCCATTTAAGCTCAGACCTGGACCTGGGGTCCTTGTCTAAGCAATATGGTAGGAGGAGTGCTGACCTGCATTCTTGTCTCCTGGGTGGACCTGAGACCTGTGCGGGAGCTAGCTTGTCTCCTAGATGGACTTTGGACCCGGACTGTAGCTTGGGTCCAGCCCAAGCTGTGGTTCATAGAATCATAGATTTGTTAAGGTTGGAAAAATCCTCTATCATTATCAAGTCCAACTGTCAACCCAGCACCATCACCATGTTCACTGTTAAACCATGTCCTCAAGAGCCATATCCACATACTCTGTGATCGTTTCCAGGGATGGTGACTCCACCACTTCCCTGGGCAGCCTGTTTCAATGCTTGACAACTCTGACAGTGAAGAAGTTTTTCCTAATATCTAATCTAAACCTCCTTGGCACTTGTTACCTCTTGTCCTGTCACTTGTTACCTGGGAGAAGAGACTGACCCCCACCTCTCTAAAACCTCCTTTCAGGGAGCTGTAGAGAGTTTTCTTTTCTCCAGGCTAAACACACTCAGCTCCCTCAGCCATTCCTCATAAGACTTTTGCTCCAGACGCTTCACCAGTCTTTGTCAATGTCTTTCTTGTACTGAAGGGCCCAAAATTGAGCACAGAATTTGAGTTGAGGCCTCACCAGTGCCCAGCACAGGGGGATAGTCACTGCTCTAGTCCTGCTGGACACACTGTTTCTCGTTCATTGGCCTTCTTGCCCACCTGGGCATGTGCTGGCTCATGTTCAGCTGCTGCTGATCAGCACCTCCAGGTCCTTTTCACTGGGCAGCTTTCCAGCCACTCTTCCCCCGGTCTGTAGTGCTGCATGGGTTGTCACCCAAGTGCAGGATCCAGTAATTGGCTCCCTGTGTTGCCCCTGTGCCTGATTCATCCCCTCACCATGCCTGGGAAGATTGATGGACCCTGTCCCCAGCTCTCTGCTTTGACTGCCATGCTCAGGTGTCATGAGCCTTTGTGCTGGTTGGTGTGGGCACTGCCTGTGCTGGGCTTGTGTGGACCAAACTCCTCCTCAGAGCATTCAACTCTCTCTGCACCTTGCCATGCCTTAATTTGCCATGGTTTGGAACACCTGCAACTGAAAATAGATTAGCTGTTGACATCCAGCTACCAAACCACCTTGTTTCTGCTGTTCACAACATATTTATCACGAAAGCATCGGGTATTTCCCTTTATAAAGAAATCAAGTAATTCTATATTGCAATAATCTAAAATCTATATTGGAAAAGGGGAGGCAATAAATGGCATATTGGGTGGAATATTTTGCTTTGAGTCACCTAGTTTTCTCTAAAACTTCCTCTTTCTGTCTGCACTTCTGGCCTTGTCTTTGTGGCCTGGATTCTTGTATTAGAGTCTTTTCAAACTGGAAAAGAAGTCCATCCTTCTTAATTATGATGCAATTAAAAAGCTAGATTGATTTAAAATATTGGAAAACACAGCAACCTTATCTCCAGACAGATCAAATATGAAATAAACTAATAGTTTGGCAAAATGTGAGAATTTCCTATTTAAATGTCTTTCACCAGAGAAATTTGCATGTATTTATGTAGGCATTAAAAAAGTTCATCAGTGTGGGAAATGTGTTTTCAACTAATTACTGGATCTATTTTATCCAAAGAAACAGAGTAAGTTTTTCTGAGGATTTGTTTTCAACTCATACTGCAGCTACTTTGTAGGAACATGTCAACAAAAACAACCTTTTTCATTTCTGTTGAAACATTCTTCAGATCAAAGTATCACCTTAGTATTTTTAAGTTTAGTCACAGAACTTACTTATGGATACTTCTTTATTATTTAATAGGACACACAATAAATGTTCTTTAGTCATTGCAGCAGAAGGGTTAGGAAACTACTCATTCATTACTTTTGCAGCTTGTTCTTATTAGCACAATTTTAAAGAGATCTCAGGGTAGCCCTGTCAGTAGCCTTCTAGAGGAGCGTAGTAAAGCCAACCTCGTAACTATCCCAACAGAATAAAAATCAAATACATCATTGCAGGGATTTCTAGACAAGGAGGAAAACCTCCTGAATTAAAAGTACTTCAGTGGAAGCTGTCCCCATGAACAAGTTGTTTAGCCCTGTTTATAAGAGGAAATGTTGAGGCAGCAGAACAGAATTCCAAACCAGTCTCCATGCAGGAGTTCTTTATTGGTCTCCCACAGCACCTGCCTTTCTTCCTATATGTGTGGCATTGCTAAAGCTGTTACAAGAAGTGAAATGGACTTTGCTGGTGTGTCTTTGAATAAATAATGCACTGTGGTGGGTGTCAAATTATTTCTGTTGTAACTAAAGCATTTCCTTTCTTCCTCTGTAACTATGGGCAAGCCATCTCACTTGGGTGTGCCTCTGTTCCTTCCCAACCTATCGATTTTATGGTCTTTGCAGAAAGAAAATCAAAAACTGCTTAAGCTGTCACCTAGTTTATTCTCTGGAGAACTGGGGGAATCTTAGGTGACAGTGAAATACTTTAAGCTGTTTGTTACACTGACAGGCTGACTTGCTGTTTTATCTCTGATGTTGCTATAATTTCCTCTCAAAGTTATCATTCTTCACCGTCACTTTCGCAGTATTTATCCAAGACACCTTCATGTATACCTGTCTTATGACCATCCCTGTCAGTCCCTGATGTTTCTTCCCAGGCTAATAGTCTAGTTGTGAGATTGAAACTTTTGTTATTGCTAATCCCCAGATTGATTCAGTGACATTTTTAAAGCAGAAAACACAATGGCTGTTTTTCATCTCGGTATTTTATTTTTAGTTAATATATGACAAAACATTTATTGTCAGACAGGCAGCATTTAGCATTGCTAAACAGGAAAACACTTCCTAGTCTTGGCCTCTTATGACCTGGTGAATAAAAAGCTCCTTTCCCTCAAACTGTTTCTGATGTGGATTAACACCACATTGAAGAGAAGTTTAGAACCTGCTAGGAACTTGTTTTGGCTAAGGGCAAAAGAAAGAAAGGGCTGACAGAACTAGAGTTGCACTTTTCAGCCTCTTACTGTCAACTTGCAGATAGAAAGGGCTGAGAAAAAAAGGGAAGGTCTTGGCAGTGGGAATTTATAGCTCTTCTGTTTCACCACTTATTGGCACATTGATCTCAGTGTGGTACTCCGAGGCGTCTCCTGAAGGCATCCAAGGTATTGGGGTTCTGTTGAATGAGGGTCTTTTGCTGAAATTTTGATTATATATCATGAGAGATTCTGGGAGCAAAGGGCAGATATCAAACTGAGGCACTTTGAAGGTCATCCTTTTGGCTGCTTTCTCATAACCCCCATAAGGCATGGCAGTCCTGGCATAGGGGAATACATGGAGTTAGTGAACAGAGCATAGGTAAACAACAAGATTTAGAAAATCAATTATCAAAGTTCTCGAAATCGTAAGTTTTGCCACTGTTGCAGTTGATGGGCCAATAAATCCTTCACAAGAACGTGTATGTTCTTGTGTATCCATTGTCCATGTACTAAAAACAAAGGTGTAAATACACACTCTTGTGCACTTCCTCCACCTTTGCATCAATCTCCATCAAACCATACACCTTTCACACCTGTTGGCACTCTGTGTGTAGAAGGGAGAGGCTGCATTATTGCAGAAATTAAAGGCATGTGGGTTTATCCTCAGTGCTGTTGTCTTGAAGCTATGGAAGCAGGTGGCAAATTTGTATCAAGATGTTTACAAAAAATTGTTGCTACCTTGGAATTATTTGTAAAAGTTTCAGTTCTTATCAGAAGCAGCAGGAAGATCCTGATTCTTATCTGAAGTACTGTGAAGTATATGGCCTCCGATCATAAGCATTTTTCCTGAACTCTTGAACTTTGAAGGACAGTAATGAACAGTGACAAGCTAAATCTCCCCGGTCAAATGGGGTGAGAAAGAAAGGGAAATAGGATTAAAGTCCTCTTATCCAGATGCATATGTTTTGTGACCATAAGCCGAATTAAAATCTCTAGCTCTTGATATATTTTCTCTTTGTAGTCTTCCGAACATTTCATCCACAGGAGACTGTGCTAAGCAAAATGATGTGCAACTAAAACTCCTTTACAGTGCACAAGGCAGGAGGCTATGGTCAGAGTTACTGTGAGGTTTTTTTGCTAAATAAACTAAATTGAACATCTAAGAAGACTTACCTGTTAAAAGACTTGTAATGGGGGAAATCAGCCTTGGGACTATATGACAGTAAGTCCGTGGTGAACTGACTTTTGTCCTCGGGACTGATACCCATTGCTCGTTCCCAAGGGGAGATGTAAGTTTTAAATATAGTTACTTTTTTGCCTCCTGACTTTCCATCTGTAAACAGAGGAAGGTAAAGCACTCAAGTTAGATGACACTTATTCTAAATACATTTCCTTCCTGTAGTCTGCTACTGAAGTTGAGACACCAGCTTTGTTTCCAGATCCTGTAACTCCTAGATCAATCTTTTAATAGATCTAACTTTTAATAGTTAGATTTCTCTTTAAAATAATGGTCATACACCACTTCTGTCCTTATCCATAAAAGCAGGGGTAACATAGTCTAAGATCCACTCATGCAGGAGTTTGCATTAAAGCATATATTTATTTGAAAGCTAATTTTTCATTCATCTCTCTGGTATAGAAAGAAATAAAGTCTTTGCCTCATCCTCTTTTTTCACTAACTTGGGGGAAGCTTTATGTAAGGCAAGGTGCTATCTAACTTCTTAATTTTCTTTTTTCTGCATGATCATAGCAGACATAACATGGCATTTTCTTTGTGGTTACATGAACAGATATTCATCTTTTCCTGCTTCTGAACCAGGATGTTAGACACAAGTCTGGCTCAAACACCTTAGGATGGCTAAAAGCAGTTTGTAAATATGATGGGTTATCTCACTGGAAGTTAAAATCTTGTCCATGAGTTTGTTGTAAAGTCAGATACTTGATTGCCAGAAATTTTAGATTAGTTTCTAGCTGCTTGATGAAGCAAATGAGCTTAGACAAGTGTTTTCATTCTGTGTGCCACTCCCTTCCCTTCTCTTCCTTTCCCTTTCCTTCCTTTCCCTCCTCTCCCCTCCTCTCCTGTCCCCTCCTGCCCCCTCCCCTCCTTTCTCCCAGCTATGTAATAAAAGCATCAGTTGTGTATTGATATGTAGCACACTTAAGATTTTCATCCTTCATAAACCTTAAAGCTCCTGAGCAAGGACTTCTGCTTAGCTTGATTAGAGCAGACAACAATAATAGGTTAATGGAGTTAGCCATTCTGATGCTTTCATGGTACCACATTTTGTGTAGGAAACAAATCCTTATGAAGTAAGTGGCAAAGAAGGAACACTATTATCTGAATCTTCCTTCTCTTTATGACACCTTCTTTCTTGGTCTTACTTATTTTCTTCAAACCTTGTCAAATCCTGAGCATTCCTGCTTTCAAAGAATTTCAGACATGTACAAGAATCTAATTTTCACTAAAAAAATAAAAACTACTATTCCCCTCTTTCTTTGTGAAGTATTTAAAGCAGTTTACAAGAAAATTGATCACTAGGGTTGAAGAATAAAAGCAGCTGGGATCTGTCTCTGCAGGGAAAGCTGTGGGATGATATTAATCCTCCTTCTCCCTGCACATGAAGAAGGTTAACAATGCAGAATCTCCTATAAGAAGACTGTAAGAGTCTACACAGATTTGTTTTTCACAAGGATGCCCAGAAACTTAAAAACTGATTTTTATATAAAATGCTCATTCCCAGAATGTAAATTAAAAACCTTGGATTTTACAAGTCATTCATTTGGTCTCTTAAGGTAGTTGTTCCTGGTTCCCAAGAAGATTTGATTTTTGTTGTAAAAACCTATAGGGGTTATTAAAATAATGATTTTACCTGCTGATTCTCATACAAGGCACTTGGTTCTAGACATTTCTGGCAAACTAAACTGAGAATAAAATTAGGCAAAGACTAAATTGAAATAAAACTTTTACTCGTAAAGATATTGCTTCAGTGGACCAGTGGTGATTACTAGATAAGTTTTAGAAATATTGCTGTTCCTTTCTGAAGATGATCCAAAAAATGTTCTTTGTTTAGGTGGAAGCTTTGGTTTGAAATCAGGCCTGAGATACTCAAGACTGATGTGTCAGATCAGACTACTAAGCTAAAGAGGTAATACTACTATCTCCAGTAGTGGTCAGTGTAAAACCCTTGAAAGGAAAGAGGGCATAGCCATACTGGCATGGCATAGCCATGTGGCAATACTGCTGTATCACCCTTAGGAGCTCAGGAGTTACATTTTCTGTAATTTCTTTGATCTAATCAAGGAAGGTATTTCTGCTTCTTGCTTATGACTGAGCAACACAGAAGCATGCAAACAAAACTATCAAGCTAAAGGCAGTCCAACTAGACTTTGCAATGGAACTTAGTTTGGAAGAATTCAGGCTTTAGTCAGATTAATTTGCTTGTCCTTAAGAGTAAGGTTGGCATGAACTCTGATAGCTTTAGCTATTTCTTGTTCTTGCTCAGAGATACTTGCCTTTCTCAGTACCATCACCTCCTTCTCCACTGTCTCCAGACGATTTGCCTCCATGCTCCCCTTCACTGTCTCCAGGGCCTCCTTTGCTTCCAGGCCTGGCAGGGACACCAGGATGCTGCTGCTTGCTGGAGCCGTGCTGCCCAGCTGTCACTCCTCCTACCATCCGCCCTTGGGCATAGCCGTGAGCATCTTCCCCGTAATGCCCTCCCGGTGGGATGAACTTCTGAAAGTGATCCTAAGGCAGGAGAAAAGAGCTTATGTATCCTTGTTACAGGACATGGTCCACTGATGTTTACAGAGTTGGGTCCCAGAACATGAACGCCCAAGTTTCTGTGATCTGAGCAGTTTCTGTGTCTCAGTTACAAAACCGGTGGCAGAACTCAGTGTAAGTTATTCTCTCTATCCGGTATAGGGGCTGTTGTGGAACAGGAGCAAGGGCAATGGAAGCACACACACCTCATAGTCATTTTATGTGATCAGAGTGAGAAGAGAGAGGTCTGTGTATTGTCCCCAGCAGTGATCCTATCAAATAGGGGAGGAAGGGAAAGGAAATTTAGCTTCTGTCAGAGCAGGTAAAGGTCCAGACAGAGATACATTGGCTAACCTGTGGGAAAGTAAGCTGGGCAAGAAATAGGGAGTGTTTTCATGTCAAAGTTAAGATAACCCAACAAAGTCAGCTTGATTATAGTGTGGGAGCTAAGTGTTACAGGGCTCCTTTGACAACAAAAAAACCAGGGAGATGTCTGCCTGTGTGCCTGTTTTCCATATATGTGAAGGTCTGAATGGGGAGAAGTATTTACATGTTGAGAAAGACTGAAGAGGTAGCAGCCTGGAAAAACAGAAAATACTTTCTGGAGACCACAAGGGAAAAATGACATAAAGGAAGAATTTTGTTTGGAGCAATATGTGCAGTGATGAACCAAATTTAAACAGCAACAAGACAAAAAAGAAAGTTTTATCCATCAGTAAAACTAGGTTGGTCTTATTTTGCAGGCCATCCACTCTCCCCAGTCCAGGCTCTAGAAGGCACAATCTCTGCAGTACATAGTGAAAGAGAAACAGTCCATGCAGGATTTATAGACCCTGTGGTGTCAGCACAATGTTCTGTCTTTGCACACAGAAATTTTAATAAATACTTGTGTAGAATAGAAACTGATATAATATGTTCACAAAAATGTTTTACATATCTGTCATAAGTGACATCAAAGTTCGACTCCTATCAGACATAAAATGGTATCTCTTGTGTATGACAGCCCACACAGCTATAGAATACAAGTCACGTGAGTTATATATCACATATAGTTTTTGCTGTTGAAGGAGGATATTGGCTGTTAGATGCACAAAGATGCAACAAATACAAATAAATGGAATGGAACGAATCTGTGGTTCCTCATGCTGCAATTCTACTTGCGTAAATTAATCTCAGGCAGTCAATGGGAAACCAGTGCCACCTTCAGAGCTGGCTCTCAAAGGGTTAAGGCTTTCTCAGGGCTCTTACACCTAGCACAGTTTAGCAAAAAGAAGCTTTCCAGGCTGTAAACAGGCTTCCAAGGCCAGCTGTTCAGTCAGCTAAAAATAGATGACAAGTGAAAACCCACAAGGCTCAAGGCAGAATTAGCTAACCCTCCACTCCCTGTGTCTCCCGCAACAGTGTCCAGGGTTTCACAGCAGGTCACCAGGCTGCAACCCAGGCAGGCAGCCAGCTGCAGGCTGAAGTGGCAGAGCTGGTGCCCCCAGGGCCTTTAGGGACTGTCTGTCCTTCTCCTAGCTGTAGGGAATTCCCTTTTTAGGCACAGAGGAGAAAATGTTCCCCTGAATGTCAGGAAGCACTGACAGCAGAGAGGATTGTGAGCATTAAGCTGTACACAGGAGCTAGCAGGGCAATCTGCTCAATTATGTGTAGGAGCTATGGAACTGTAAAAAGGCAAACTGAAAAAAGGGTATTTTGAAGGCTAGGGGTCAGAATGAGGTTATTCTCAAAATGTTAATATATATGCAAGGTTAATGCTTCTACTGATTTGCTTAGTACTTTCAAAACAGGATTTGCATATGATTTCCTTCAAGTGTTACCCATGCTTTGTGCCTTTCCTGAGAATTAAATGCTTATTTCTCTTTTCCTCTGGTTACTTACATGTGCCCTCCTGAAAAAAAAAAGTCACAAAACATCAGCATAACATGAGCTGCAGTAAGATGGGCTATTTTGATTCTGCAAACGGCAGTACTTGATGTGACCAGGGAGGGGCATCAATGTCATCTGGTGTTATTTTAAATTGCAGCATTATCACTGATAGGAATGAAGTTTCTCTGAAACAGAAGGTCTGCATCAGGAGAGCCACACCTAAATCTTATTAAGCTGCAAATTAAATTAGTTTGATTGGCTTAGGCTAGTTCATGATTCTTCATGGACCTGCTGGGAAAACTGATCTGTTGAAAGCAGACATCTTCATTCAGATAGGAGAGACACGTTTTCCATGCAATACCCCAGTCTACTCACCTGCTAGAAAAAATATAATTTCCTTTAGTTTTGGCCACCACAATAGTTTGTCTTAAAATTAGTTTGTCAAATTAACAGGAGGCAAAGGGAAATTAATCTTTTTGAAAGATTTTCTGAGAGAGCAGAGCTCAGGAATGGCAGCCTCAAGCAGGAGTCTCAACATAGTCAAAACTGGGTAGGTGCAGCTTTGTCTCTGGTACGTAGAGCATACCTCAGGTCAGAGTTTTGAAGTGAAATACAGATTACAGTTGGGGAAAATGCAAGTCTTGTGCCAGTGCTTATGGAACATTGTGGAGCTTTTCCATATATGCATATTCACATCATAAAACCAGTCTCTCAGGGTTGATTGACCCTGTTGGTGGAAGTTCCAGGAGAGAAGCCCAGGAATGTCAGTTGAGAAGGCTGATAGCCTTCTCCTGTTGGCTCTGGGGACAGATCACACAGTTTTTCCATGGAAGGGTCTGCCTTGTTTGTGCATTGCTGGAGGTAGTAGATGCTATCAGTGCCTGTGTATCCCCAAATTCACTCTCACAAGGAAACAATTGTCACAAGTTCAGGTGACATGTAGTCCCCTGGGTTGGCTAAACAAATTGGGCTGGTGTCTTTGAAGTCCTTAGTTCTAGCAAGAGTCTAATCCTGCAGGCTGAGTGCTTAGATGGACAAATTCCGAATTCTCTGGAGCATGTGCCTAATAAAAACTAGATAATGAAAGATGATCCAACTGAGCTGAGATCTCTAAGTATCTCAAGGCCCTGACGTCACTCCAGGCAGTCCCCAGGAGGAGACACTATGTGCTCCCCTTCAACTCCTTGCTGTGCCCTAAAGAAAATGATTGAGGCCACCAAATGTGTTTCTATTTCCACCTCACAGATAAAGAGCTCCCCAAATGTTTGATACCTATGTAGTTACTAACACTTCTGAAGTTACTGGTCTGCGTTCTCTTAGTGGCAGCCACTCAAATGCTCCTTAATGGTGCGATGGGAGATTTAAAATTCAGACACTTGGAGAGTCTCACTGACTGCCTACTGCTTTTATAAGTGTATGCCTCAGTCCTTCATTTGGCATTGCATAGCCTTAAACCTATGATTCACTTTAAGGAAAAAGGATGAAAATAAGAAGCTGTTAAAGTACTTAGGCAAATTTTTTTTTTTTTTGAACTTGCTACCCCAAAAGGTACAGCAGGTTGAGCTTTTGCTATTTCCAGGTCTACTTCTGACTTGCTGTTTAATCTTAGGAAAATTATTTTTTGCCTCCGTGCCTGAATTTATCCATCTAATTAATGGGAATTTTTATCTAATGCTACCCAAAGTTAGATATATCTTATTTGTATATCTTATAATATCTTTGCCACATTTTCTTTGGGGGTGAAGGAAATTGAGTTTCAGAATTTTGGTCCAAAGTTTTCTCATAGTGCTCCAACAAGCTGCTGTGGAAAATAAAAGGATCTTTTTTTTCTGTTGTTCTGCTTTTTCCACACCATCACTTCTTGAATAAGAACACATTGAACTCCATATTCACTCTTACACAGCTTTGGATATAGGTGGGACCTCTAGGTCTTCTACACCAATCCAACTCCAGCACAGCAAGGCTCATTTTATTAGAGGTTACATCTTACCCTGCTCAGTCCACTTACTTAGGTCATAACCTGAGACTTACATCTCAGTTTGTAATTATCCTGTAACATTTGTTCAAGAGGTTAAATATTCCCTGCAGAACAGAATCCTTAGAAAAAAATGCTTTTCCTACTGTTTTCCATTTAACCTTACCTCCAGCAATTGGTGGCCTGATTGGTGTTCTTCTAAGTACCTTAAGGGGCAAACAGAACCATCAGTGCATGTTTGTGCAATAAACCAAGTAGCTTCACGGTAACATCTTTGTTTCTCCATCCTTATGTTTTCCTTCACACCCTGTATCATGTCTGGCTATTTAACATGTAAGATCTCTGAGGCAGGTTGGTTGTGTACTGCTGTCTGCTGCGAAGCATCACTTTGGGTATTTTAACATAACTTCTTCCATTCTGCTACCTCTGCCCACTCCTGTGAGTTCTTTCTCAGCAGCAAAGGCAATACCAAGTAACTCCTGCAATTGTGCAGAAGCACAGTAATCCAATTCCTTAAACCTTTTTCACTTCCTGTATTTTGTTTCACAGTTGGTGTCAGCTTATCTGAAGAGACCTCTTGACCCGAAGTCCAGCAGAAATTGCCAACATATGTTCAGATTGTTTTCGTACAAGCAAAGAAGGAATGGAATGGTACAAGATTGGAAACTGCATTTATTTTAACTTGTGGATGAGCCTAAGAAAGTATGAAGGTGGGGTTATCTGTGTGTGGGTCTGGGTGTTTTTTGATGTACTACTGCTATTTGTCTATTTTTTGATATACTACTGCTATTTGTCTATTCAAATATTGCTTATTTCACCTTCGTAATAGTTTTAAGTTAAGATCTGATAGTAAAGCATGAAAAGCAGGGGAAAAGAAAAAGGTTTTCTACATGTAACCCAAATCAGGCCACAGGTTTTGACTAGCAGAAAGATATATTTAAGGATCCTCACTGGAAGACAGACAGCGCATCCAAAATCCTATGGGTTTGTTTTCAGTTTCCACTTAATGATTAGCACAAAGGTGTTAGACAGTTTCCCTTTGATGATAGCAAGAAGATCTTAAACAGAGGTTCCCAAAGCAGAGATGAGACCTCAGAAGGAGTTAAGACAATAAAGGCTGTAGAGCCAAGAAACATCCTTTCACCTGATCTCAATATGCTTGAGGCCAAACAAATTTAGCATTATGAAGGAAGGGTCTGTGAACTGCTGATCTGTTAGTTGCTGTACAGTGAAGTGGGATTTAGGAGACCCAAAGATAATACTAAAACCCTCTCTATGATTTTGTGTGACCCGTTCATCTACCCCATGGTTCAGTTTCACCATTAAAAAATAAATATAGTCATTTCCTTCATGCTATGGTTGGCCAGATGCTATAGTAATAGAGCACAGAGCAAGATGGAGTTTCATCATGGTCTGTAGTCAATAGTAAATTGCATCATGCAGCTCCACAATGAAGTTGATAATATCCTCTGAGACATGGAAAGGACCACAGTTTCTGTAACAGGGTGGCACAGCCTGGGGTGAGGAGAAGAAATCCTTCTTATGATTTACTAGACAGGATTGATAAGAGCTCAGCTTCTCCAGCACAGCACCAAACACAAAGAATGTTGCCTGAACTCTCCCTGTTTGCCAGGATATCAGTGTCAAACTCAGCCCTCCTTAAAAACCTCCCCTTGTACTGTGCATTTGCAAGAGAAGAGGGTCACAGTATTGAAAACAGCTATACAGTGGGTAGTGCATGTCATTTTGCTCATGTTGGGAATGGTCAGTCCTTTTTACTGTGGGTTTAGCTATCATTTGCCTTTAACTGGATAGGCAGAGCTGCAGCAGTGATAGAGTGGCAGAGTGGCAGGTTTTCACTTTTGGAGGTGTCTGACATTCTGGCACACACAATATATGTTTTCTCTGCTAAAAATAAGGAGAGTGATCTGATTGTCCAGTGTGGTTGTTTGGCTGGAGGAGAAGGAGGAGGAGAGAAGCAAGAGGGTGAATCAATGACACATGACTGCTGAGATCTTCTTCCTTGTGTGGAATGTTTATGGCTACAGCACAGGCTATCCTGGAACCCCTTATATGGTTTGGATTTATTTTTAATAAGTTTTCTCTTTGTGTGTTTTGGGGTTTTTTTTTAATATTACATTACCTTACTGCTAAACTTTTTTTGTGGGAAAGAAACAATCCGTCCTTCATGCCAGACTTGTCTTGCTCTGCTTTGCTAAGTATGTCCCAAGAATATTTTAAGACAGGTAAGGATTCTATGATATAAAAACAGAAAACCCACCCCTGGCTTCAAAACCCTTCACTGCCTCACAGCCATAAAGACACAAGGACATCTTTGGGGTGGGGAGCAAAGAACATAGAAATTAATTGAGAGAGGGAAGTAACCAGATGTAGCAGTAGGACTTCTTTACTCTTCCATTATTTTCTTCACACAGTTCCCTTGTTTTTAAGCTTTCTTTTCTGCTTCTTGCCTTTGAGCAGATACAGGAGCAAGAAAGAAAAGGAACAGAAAGCTAATCAGGTATTGCAATCAAAAGGCCTTCCTGATGAAAGTTATTTGTTGCTAAGGTCGGGGGGCTGTCCTGATGGTTTGAAAGATAACAGGCCACAGATGTGTTGCCTTTGCCTGCCCAAGAACAACCAGCTCTCCCAGAGAATGACTCAGTTGCTGCGACTGCTCAGCTTTTCCTCTCGCTGCTCTGACCACGAACAAAGGTGTTAACTTGTGCTGGCTGTGGTGATGAGAATAGTTATCCAGACAGGCAGTGGATGCAACCTGCCAGAGCCCTTGCACAGAGCACATGGGGCAGCCAGAAAATGGTAACAATTATGTTTGTGATCCTGTTAAGTTGGGCCCAAGTGAGGGCTGTAGGGCAGATCAAAGTCTTCCTGCACTGACTAATGGAGATTTTTTATCTGTGCCATGAATGTGGAGAGAAGATAGCCCTGAAGTTGAAACATGAAGGATTTTAAAGCTGAGTGCCAGCTGCTGTTTGGAGACCATGCCAAGGTTCTCATGCAGCAAAGCTATAAAGAAAATACTAGGCTTGTTAGAGTCTTCTCTAACCCCCAAAGACATTTCTCCATGACAAAGAGCTTGGGAGCAGGGGTGTTCCTATAGAACAGAGGGAGAGATTCCCTACAGAAAGGGTATGGAATAAAAGTCAGGCACAGATGAATAAAGTAGGAAAACCAGCTAACAAAAAAGAGGCAATCGTCATCAGCCTTTGTAATGTTAGTCATGTAGGGACTCTGTACATGTCCAGTTTTGAGTCAGTTTGCCACAGCTCATTTGCTTTCTACTGTCATGATTGGGACATTCTTTAGTGACACCCTCACATTTTTGAGAGCTTGGACTTCAGCCTTTTTATTCTGTTGCTTTGTTATTTTCTCACTCCACTGCAGCAGATTCTGACACATGAACTTGGCCTTTGTGTGTTTGAGGAGCTCTGAGATTTGCTAAGTATTTATAAAAACAGCATGCACTTCTCTAGACTAGTAATCTGAAGAATCCAAAGTTCAACAGACCATTCATTCTCACATCCTTTCTAGGAAATAACTTCCCGAAGAGGTAAACTACCTAAAGCATAAGGAGATGAAGAAGCTGCCCAAAGTCTAACGTCACCAGATATGCTTGCTGGATCTCTGGTCTGTCATCACTCATCTGTAATCTGACCTACTGTTGTAATTTTAATGACTTGGGTTTTTTTATCAGGCATCTTTCCACATTCTGATTTCCAAATTGTCATTTTTAAGAGTGAACCAGAGATATTTACTTATTGCTACTTTTGAAAACATCAGAGGGCTAAAAACCAACGTGTTTCTGTTTCACAAAACATTTTCTTCAGCTTGACTTTTATTATTTTCCCTGAGTTTCCTTGGACTAGAAAACAGACGCCATAAAGGAGTAAAATGACATCAAATGAATTTTAAAGAACATCAGAAGATGAGGTGCTATATCAAAATGCATATAAACCTGAAATATTTTCCATTTGTTCTACTGAACTCCTGACAATCATGTGATAGGAGAGTTTAATTTGTAAAAGTTTAGGTGTCTTTAGAAGACTTTACACCAACGGCTAAAGGTAGAGAGAAGTTCAAAGATTAAATAACAGTAATAACTCATGGGAAAGGGGAAAAAAAGAATGTTTACATTTATACATCATATCTGAAAGGAAAATATTCTAGAAGAAAACAAACTTGGCTTCTAGGAAATTAACTGAAGATATTGCACAGTCAGGTTAGAGGTTTCTGGCAGAAATTTCACTTGTGGAACTTGCAGAAATGAGCAGGGGACTCTGTCCAGCAGAAAGTATAAAAGTATCCTAGACTAAAAATGTAACTGCACCTACTGGGGCTGAAGTCAGACCTGGATGAATCATTGCCATCATGCAAAGAATAAATGGAATGGGTACAAAACTAATTAGCCCTGCCCTGAGGTCTGAACACCTGCCAAACATACAGTCCTCCTTCATCACTCAGTACTGAATTTTCTCATGCTTCTGCATATGCGATACGGATTATTTGCCAGAGGAAACTAATGCTGTTGCCAAAAGGAAATAAAACTTGTGTATTTATAAAATTTCAGCTTTTTCCTTCACTTCTTTGCTAGTAGGTCCCCCCTGGTCCATGCACATACAGAGGGGAGCTTGTGCACACTCCATTCCTGTTTACCCCACATGTATGGAGTAGCTTTTTATTTTTATTCTTCAACCTACCACAGAATTGTCGGTGAAGGCATCAGGGTTATTCTCATAAATGAACTTCTCCACTCTCAGCTGGCGTAATTTGAACATCTTGGATCCTCTGTTAGTGAGGAGAGAAAGCTCTTCTAGCATCACATCTCTGGGGATGCTGATCTTCTTCCCCAAGTTCAGCTTGGACACCTCTTGCGGCATGTCTACAAAACATAGGCAATGGGACACTTTAGGAAGTGCTCTGGTCCACATCTCTGTTGCTTCCTAGCATCAGTAGTGACTTCAGAGCACCCAAATTCTCTTCTAAATTCAGTTTTTAGGAAATGAGCTATGCGCCAAGGTTTTACATTGATGACACTTTGGGTATAGATATTTGGGATTTCCTCTGAATTGCAATCCAGGCAAATCTGCAGAGATGAATTGCATAGGGGTGGAGCTAGATGGATGTGGCCCACATCTGAAGCATCTCAGTCAGTGCAGCAGGATTCCTTAGTACTGCCACAAAATGCACCACTGCCTTGTGAGATTACTGCCTTACATTCACCTCCCCCTTCCCCCCACAATTAAATGAGTGGCAGTCAGCTCTTCAGATTGGACTGACATGTAATAAATAAAGTGAACTCTGGTGTGCTTTGGTTTAAACATTATCCTGGAGCCATGGCAAGATTCAATGTCGTTATATCTTTTGTTTGTTTGTTTTAGGGAGAATTTTTAATAGGAAAGTGGTTGAAATTCTCTTCAAGCCTTAATATGCTTGTCACTCAATAAGTACTTTTCCATTTATTTTGGTACCACCAATTCACCATCAAAGCAATGGATTTAAACACTTTCAGTGTAAAAATCTTGCAGAAATGGAGTTAAAGTTTTTCATTCAGAAACATGCAATTTTTCCTAGGCTTTGTGGTTTTGTCTTGTTTTGTTTGTTTTTTTGGTATTAACTAAGGTTAAGACCACTTCTCATTGACAACAGAGAATGAATCCCCATCCTTAAACGACTATAAAATTTATATAAATCCCATTCATTTTATTAGACATTCTCTGAAGTATTTTTTTTTAAGCCAGTTTTATATAACACTATTTCATAGCACAGGAGGAAATGCCCTTTAACAGAAAATTGAATTTTTACTTGCTTGTTTACTTGAATAAAGGATTAGGGGCAAACAGAAAAATATATACCTGTACTCTACCAGAGAAGTTTCTACAGCCATTTTGGGGGGCTGAAGAAAGAACAGCATTGAATTATTACTTTTTTAACCTCTAAAAATCTTCCCCATGATGTCAAAAGCAAAGAGAAGATAAGGATATCACAGTTATTTAAAAGTCACCCTCCCCAATACTCATGTATTCTGTAGAAAGAAAAATATCCCAAGTTAAATTTTTTCTGTTCTATTAACTTCTCTAAGAGACCTTGTCTTTTTTCAGCAAATGAGTGCTAGAATAAAAGGAATTCTCTCACACAGAGGAAAAAAAATAAGAGCTAAAGGTTATAAGAGAGAGAAAAAGTATAACTAGGCACTGCAATATTGATACCTGTAAAAGATCATGTTCTCTTCCCTTTCACGCTGGTGTGCATCCAAATTAATGCTGCAAGAGAATATGGGTTTACAGAGTGTGATGTAGATCAACACTTGACCTGAGTCTGTGCAATGCTTTTCAACTGTAAGACAGAAAATGTGATGTGGTTGAAGGCTGGGCTTTAGTAATATTTGTGGCGCTGCCTGCTGGTATGGTCACTGCATGTCTTGCTTTGGGAGTTCAGTGAGACACGGTGTGAAATTTTAAAGCCTGAAATTCAGGTTGAAATCCAAACAGTTCTTACTTGTGCAGTTCTGCATATCTTACCTTCGTGTATCAGCTTCCCAATGAGTTTAGTGGACTTTTTCCTTTTAAGAGGAGCAGGAGTCCCTGCAAGGGGCATTCCCACAAAGAGTTCTCTGCTTTGCTCTAAACACACAAGGAAATGGAGAATGAAACACTGGAAAGGTATTTCTTGCCTTTCTTTTAGTTGCCATCTACAGGAAAAAGATACACAGCCTTCCTTTCACACACAGATTCTTTTCTATCCCTTCCACATGATGGAGCTAGGGAATGGTATCCTCCCATACAGAATATCATTGGCAGGTTGTTGTGGTGTTCTCTGGAGACTTAGCATTATGACACAAATTATGGTAGCAGATCGCAGCAGAAGCATTGCCAAGGTGCCATATAGCATTGTCATCCAAAAGGTGCATTTTAATTGCAACGTGGCAGTCTCCCAGAATCCAGGTGATCCATCGGGGTACTCTGTTACCATTTTGTGCTGCAGTAACAGACTGTCGCTTTGAAGTACAATGTTGCAATACCACGCAGTTATCAGTAGATGATAATATATATATTTGTATAAAGATTTCATATCTGTCCATGGGTTATTGGGAGCGCTTTGAATAACGTGCAAGTGCAGTTTGGATATTTAAAGAGTCCTATTAGACTTAGAATAGGTATTCAGGAAGCCCCTAAACTGGAAGTTTGGAACAGAAAAAAAGGAAAGAAACCAAAATTCTGAGTACTTCTGTCTTTTATGACTGCTACTCTTTTGTTACAGAAAGGCTAGAGGAAGAAAGCACAGGAAAACTTGATAAAGGAAAAGTTGTTAACCCAATTTGTTTGAAGTCACTTGCACCTGTATCTTACGGATCTTACCCCATATCATTTTGAAGGGGTAAAGAGGAGAAGAGGCAGACTTTTTTCTGGTACAATGTTCCCCATCCCTAGATGGGATGAGAGATCTGTCTGCAAAGTCAGGGAAAATCAGGAGAAATCTCAGCAATTCCATTTCAGGCAGGTCCTCAGAGTGCTTCTTTAGGGTTATCACACGTAATTTAAGTAGGACAAATGTCTTGCCTTCGTTTCAGCACTGTCCATGCCCAAACACCAGCATATAAGGGACATTACCTAATGTATATTACCTAATACAAGGTAATACAATACCAAAAAAATGAGCGAAGACCCATTGGCTTCAGCAACAGCAATAACTAACCACCTCTGCCATTGTGATTCTTTGTACTCTAGTTGCTTAAAATTTCAGAACTGAAAACATTGAACTGTGAGTTGCCTTTTAAAACTACCAAGCAAACAGCTGGAACTAGGAGTTTGTACACTGCCCTTGTTGTGATTAAGGCATTTTTATCTCCTGTGTATTCTGCAGTCATTCCACCATTGCTTCTTTTGCAACATGATTTTCATGTGATGTGTTGGTGATAACCGCTAAAGGAAGCCCAGCCACAGCAGAACAGCTCCAATCACATTGGCAGATATTCCCTTGGATTAGTTTTTCTTTCAGATTTGCAAGCTTTTCCTTGTACTGAGATGCTGCCTATGCAGTTCACGTCATAAACGAGCCCATCCTGGGGTATTCCCAAAGCAAGCGTGAGCAGGTGCAGCCCTAAAGCACGCGCTGCACATTCTTCTCAAGCAGCCAGACATCTGCTTGGCTATATAAAAGAATCAGGCCCTGCTTGACAGGAAAGCGGCAATGCTGCCAGGAGACAGCAGGGGTGGGAGGTTACAGTCCATCTGATGGGTCCTAGGACTGGCAAAACAGAGGGAAATCATCTGTATGTCCCCAACATGGACTCCCTGGGACAAGGCAGAAATGGCTGGCCCTGGCATGGATCTGTGCTCCCCTAACACACCCATTCCCAAGGAGCAGTGAGGACAAGTCCATCCCATTCTGCTATCCTTTACTGATCCAGCACGGCTGAGGAGTGAGAAACCTGCTGCATGCAATTGGTCTAGCATAAGGAAAGGGCAGCAGTCTCTCTCTATGGACAAAGTCCAGAGCTACACTGGTACTGCTGCTCTTTCAGCCCTCCCACCAGAGGGAGGCTGCTGGAGCCTCAGTCCCCGTCCTCCCCACTATCCCATACATAAAATCAGGGCCACAATTATCCTTTTCTCCTTGAGCTCTATCCCTTAGTCCAATTCCTCTGTCATTTTCTGCACTGGCCTCTGCAGAAGTCATTTCCTCATTTTGGCTGCAAACCAAATCACTCTTTACCCTCTCCAGCACCTGCTCTACACTATTTTGCTGCCCAGTTAACTCACCTCAGGTTTGCAGTGCCAGGCTTGGACCAGCTCACGTGTCTGTCCCAGAGCTCGGCAATGAGCTGCTTCCTCCCAGCCCGTCCCTGGGTGCTGCTGGGGAGGCTTGTCCAGCAGTCCCTCTGTCCCAGGTTGCCTGGGTGCAGGCAAGCTCTGCCCAGCACAAAGTGCTGATGCGAAGTGCTGTGAATTTGACTCCTGAGGGCTGCTCGCACAGGCATCCTGCAGTTATTAATAGCCAATGGCCCAGAGGACAGAGTCTCAGATAGCACCACTGCCATCCCTGAGGAGAGGGGAAAGCAAAAGGTTGCTCCTCAGGTCTCCTGCAGTCACTGTCTCAGTGCACGGAAGACCGGGCTCTCTGTAGGTGCTTCACTTCTTCCTCCTCTCTGTTCAAATCAATATGCTGCTCCCCTTCCTCCTCCTATTGCTTTTTAATGCAATTCATAAAACCTTCTCAATATCCTGTTTGTCAGTAATGCCTCAAAAGCTATCTTGGGTCTTGCTCTGTTTTACGCCTTCCTTCTGCCCCTTCCTCAATCATTCAGCCAGCCCAGTGTCCTCTAGGCTGTCATACATAATTCCTAAGATGCATCAGTAAATACAGAAGCAAAATAATTGTATGCATGAAACAAGAATTAATAGGAAAACCACAAAGTCTAAAAAGTTATTTACAGAATTCTTGGAAGTAGCTATGTAATGTGTATGGGAAACTGAGCTTAATCAAATAGCAAAGAAAGTAATTTCCTGATTAATGACAGAAATAGGGTTCATTGCCTGCATTTGGTGCAGCTTTGTACATGCAAATGACCCTCCTTGGCTCCTGTTCATTATGAGGTAACTCTCTCTCTTCTCCCCCCTACACAGTTCAATTCTGGTTTTAGGATGAAGGTAACATATCTCATTTCATTGGATTGCTCAAAGATGCACATGTTTTTCATCTTCTGAATAAAGCAGAAATCCTCTAGAGAACATTGTCTTCCTGTTGCACACTGAAAGATTGGATTCCAATTGGATCAAAATCAAGTTGTCCACTGAATAATCCTAGAGTCTAGTGGCGAGGGGGGGGAACCAAAACACAGTTGTGATTGTAGTAGAAAATCATATGCACAGAGGATTGCAGGCAAAGTTGATATAAAGGAACATCAGGAGACAGCCGCTTTCCTTTTTCCATAGATTTTGCTGTTGGCTTTGCGTGCACCAAATGCATATAAAACTTCCTATTGTGATAAGTGTGTTGAAAGCACAAAGTGTTAAGCCCTAGTACTGTTTGGAAGGTCCTGTAGAAGACTGCTATAACATACCTATGGGGGATAATCAGTCTTCATACCCTGCTTGGAGTCAGGGCACATATGGCAATCTCCTGGCCCAAAGTTTCCCATTTTCCTCTTGCTTACATCCATGTAG